GTCTTTTCTACAAAGCTTCTTTACCCTTTTATTCTTGAAGAAAAGAAACATCCGTCACAATTTTCATAGCCAATGAGGAAGACATTCAGGGTTAATCTTTTTTTAAAAAAATATTTTTTATTAAATTTTCCAAGTTAAAATCAACATAAGACAAAAACATAACAACAAAAACCATACATTCCCCTCCCTCCCTCCCCCATTCATAACACTAGACATACAAACACATCCATCCCAGCAGATAATATTCCTGCCCTCATTTAGTGTTAATCTTGAGGAAGACAGTTCATTATCTACCCCAAATTAAATATAATAATTATTGCAGAACCTGCTGTATGTAGTCATTTTCCCGCTAGACCTGGGGATCAGTTTCAGTTCCTGAACTTTGAAGAAACCCAAACACTTGTGGAGGTCTGGCCTGTTTCCTACATCAAAGCTTATATAGCTGTTAATATGTAGATAGGTTACCATAACAAAATAACCCATCCACTCCAAAATTCTCCACCAATTTCTTCTTACATGCAACATACAAGTGGTGTCCATTTGTCATGAACAACAGACTACAGTAATTAAAGAAATGCATAAAAAGTGTGCTTTTGATCTGTTTCTTTAAAACTCGGGAATCCATACACTTCACTTCTGAAATATTCTTTCCATTATCTGCTCTGCTAAGTAGCACTTGGGAAGTCTACAGAGTCAAAGCCTCATTGCTCATCCCGCATACCTGCAATGCCACAGATCGTAATTCTGCTATAGAAACATAAGGTGCTTGCTGCCTCAGTCTACTTGACATTGACAAGAACTGGCATTTCAGGGTTTTAGGCAGACAGTTTTCTAATGCAATCCAGAGATGCCAGGGATGAATTTGAGATCATCAGTATGCAAAGCGAAGAATTACACAATTGTACAGGTTTACAACCAGGCACAGGAAACAGTGGCACATGGGATAGGAATTGCAAATCTTTAGGCCGGATGATGTTCTAATCAGCGAAAGCAAGATGGAGAGGGACCAGGAACAGCTATTTTCTAATTATTCATTCACCTTTCCAAAGTTGCTTTTTCTTTTACCTGACTTAATTATTCTGCTTCTAATTATTCTGTACCCTTAATTACTTTACAGTCAAGTTTTTATTGCATTCTCAATGGTAAACAATTCTGATGTTGTTTTCACAAAAAGCAATATATAAATTGCATTACTTAAAAGTAGGAGAAGGATGTTATCATAAATGTTCTCTAACCTTCTACCCTGCTTCCCCGAAAATAAGAGATCCGCTGATAATAAGCACAATCGGGCTTTTGAACGCATGGGCTAAAATAAGCCCTCCCCAAAAATATTTAAACGCATGTACAGCCGGTCCCCACCATTTCCTCTGGTTAGGGTTAGGGAGACAGAACTGGAAATCAGGTAAAATAGCAAGAGGAGCCCAATCTTGCTCCACGCACCCCAAAATAATAAGACCTCCCCAAAAATAAGGCCAAGTACTTATTTTGGGGTTCAAAAAAATATAAGACAGGGTCTTATTTTGGGGAAAACACGATAAGTAAACTAGTTTATGATTTTAAAAAAATCATTTCATATAAATTCAGTTAGTCTCAGAGTTCTGAACATAATAAAATATTGGGCAAAAAAACCTTCCAAAATTCTACTGCAACATTATAGCTAGAAATCAAACGCATTATAAATCAAACACAGTTGTGTTTTAAGAGCATTTAATGTTAAAAGTTTTTTTCTGCATTGTGCACATACTGGACTTGGGCTGCTCTCTGTCTCTCAGCCCAACCTACCTAACAAGACTGTTGTAGAGAAAAATGTAGAGAGGAAGCACTATATATGCATCTTCAGCTCCTGAAGGAAGTTGAAATGATCCATTAAGTCACTCCTGATTTCTGGTAAATGCAGGAAAGAGTCCATGCAATTTTCTTGGCACGATTGTCAGAAGTGGTTTTCTTTGTACCTAAAGCTCACAACCCCCCAGTAGCTTTAACCATTATTGTGTACCAAACTGGCACACCTAAAAGGAAAGGTAGAACACAAATAAAATCAAATAAATATGCACATTTGGTCACATTTTGGCCTTTCCATTAAGAAACTCACAGCTCTAACACACACCCTCCCTCTCTCCCTCTGATATATATAGCAGTAGTGGGTTTCAAATCCCGGTGCTACCGGTTTGTTATTGGTAGCTCACGGGCAGGCGCACTCCCTTTGCAAGTGCAGTGTGCTTCTGCGCATGCGCAGAGCATTTTTGATGACGTTTGAGCGGGTGGCCAGAGCCTCCCGCCGCCGCCACTACCGGTTTGCCTGAACTGGGGCAAACCAGGAGCAACCCACCATGATATATATATATATTTCAGCTCAAATGTAAGAAATTGCACATATCTCTCTTAAATGCAAACTATAAAATATTGTTCCAACAACTTCAATTTATTTTACCTTCAGTTTAATATTTTTGTTTTTAATTTATTTAATGAGTTATGTTTTTAATGTATTTTTAATCACATTCTCATTCTAGTAACATATTCTAAAAGCATTCATACAAAATTAAATTTTAACTTCTGCATACGTTCTGCAAGTGGGTTAATACACTTACAACTGGTTTAGAAAAGATCTAATCTACTTATTTTAAATTATAATTCTTACACCAGCATATAATTTAAACACATATTAGTAATTATAATTATACATGTGAACAGGTATTAACAGCTAACACTGGAAATAATGCTCAGAAGCAAGACATTTTAATCAAACATATTTATAACTTTTAAAAAGTCATTCCATCACATAGACCGTTAAAATTAGGCAGCAATGTTTTCGATTCCCTGCAATGACAGCACCAAAAACTCTGTGGGCAGCATCATACAGTGTGCATTTTTCTTCTAAACTCCTGAGGTAGATTGGAGCATTTGCTCTATTACGGAAGAGAGTCATGCTACAAAAATGTTATAGATGAATGGATACAGAAAAGCTGTGATAGCAGTATTTTCATTTGCATTCTCCTCCTCAGCACATAGTTTGATTTTTTTTCCTGCACAATGTACATTTAAATTTCTTACTTGTATCAATTTATCCTGAAATAAAATTATTTAGCAACTTCATTTCAATCTGCTCCCTCCCTGTTCCAATTCAGATTCTGAAAGTCAAAGATATTATCACTTAGTGAAACAACATTGAAATCAGCATTTTTTGGAAATATGAGCAAATATATAGCCTATGTACATATATTACACAACTATTTCAAACCAAGCCAAAGAGAAACATGCTACTAAGAACTGTTTTATCTTTTAGCTAATGGCATCCTGTTGCTAACCACTTAGAGAATAGCAGCCTTTATCAGTCTTGTAAATTACATGATAGATTTTCACTAGAGTTCTGCTACTGTAGTTTTTAATAGTCAATGAATTTAGCAGTTTTAGCACCTTTAACTTACTGCCAGTATTTTTTAAAATATGTGGTAAGTAAGTTATAAAGTATTTCAATTATTTTCAGACTCCATTCAAGAACCACTGTAAATATAATCTTCCAAGGTGGCTCAGGCACCTTATCTTACAGATGACAAATTGCTAAATGAAAGCTACACTGCAGATTGTTCTACGACCTTGGAAATGTGTTTTACTATGAAAAATACAACACAGACATTCTTGTTATGTTACCATATTGCTATAACCTGGTAGAACTATTTAATATTACCCAACAGCATATTACCAGTAGCACTGGTAAAACATTTTAAGCCATGTGAAATATGAATGTTTTGCACAAGTTTGAGCAAATTAAGTGAAAAAAAAATTCTCTCATTAATTGAAATCTAAGAAAGTATGTCTGCTGTTATCAAAACTTGGGGTTCCTATTCTCCAACACACAGGAACAATTCATTTGCCACATATTTCAAAATGATTCTGTAGGTAATGGGAAAAAAATCTCCTGATTTTTTTTCCTGATAACACAAAAAGATTTTTCCAAGCCCTTTCATTTCATTTCAGCACCACTGAGTTATATAACATCATGCCCTGATGTCAGTTCCAAGTTTTTAAGCTTCATTTATAGGTTTATCATAGCACAGCCCTTCAAGCATGCAGCTTTTTTTTTTCCTCATTATGCAAGGAAAAGTACCCTTCCCAGGCAGGCCCAGCTTCTCTGATGACATCGTTAATGCAGAGCAGCTCCTGCTATGCAGGGGACAGAGCACTGCCTGCAAAACCAGGGGAGGAAAAAAATAAAACTCTTTGCCTTCATATTATTTATCCATTTGCAGCATGAGAGAATTAAGGACACATATTATCCGGTTGCTGCTGCTGTTGTTTTTTTTTAAAAAGTAGGCAATGTTTTAAAATGCAGCGTTATTTCTATTGGCACCCATGAGCACGCAAGTACTATATGAGAAGGGAACTACAAACCCGCACTTTCCCGTGGGCTCCGAGACCCGCGTGCCCGCACAAACCACCCTTCCCCCGCAGTCAACAGCGTGCACCCAAGAATGCAGACTCTCCTGTCTCTTCCCTAGGTCGGGGGGCAGATGGGTGTGGGCGGGGGGGGGCAACAGGAGCTAACCTTAACAGCTGCTATTCTGCCTACTACCCCAACGGGAACCGGAGCCCCGCAGTTGTCTGGCTCGCCGGCCTGTGCGCAGTTCTGTTCCCCCCACCCCCACCTCGTCCGCACACGGCCATTGTCACAAAGTCTGCAAACGGCCTCTAGACCCGGCTCGGTGCTGCTTTGCGGCGATACGACGCTCCCGTTATCCGCATCCAAGCGTCCTCCCTCCAGAAGCTGCAGCCGGCAGCCCCTTTGACAGGCGGGGGGGGGGGGGCTGGATTTGGGGCGAACCGTGGCATCATCCCCTTTGTCGTTTTCAATCCTAACCCCACCTTCCCCTCTCTTGAGCAGGGTTAGGTTAAACCAAGGGAAGGGAGTCTCGGGGCCCCCCACGCCCTCTGAGCCACCCTGCCCGGTACTCCCCGCGCAAAGCCCCTGGAAAGAGAGCGGCGGCTGGGGAGAGAAAACCCACCTGAGTTTTAAGTCAGCTCGGGGCGCGCCGCAGGAGGAAAATGCGGACGCAGGAGGTGTGGAGGGAGGAAAAGTGGCGGCGGGCTGCTCGGAAGGGAAGGCGGTGATGGTGGTGGCGTCGCCCGCTTTCTTTTCGCGAAGCAGACCCGAGTCCCGCGAAAAGGCGGCAGCGGCGCGCGGCGGCTCCTCAAGGCAGCTTTCCTGGGCCCTCTCCTCCTCCTCCCTCCTCCCTCCCGTGGCTGTGCAGTCTCGCCCTCCCTCAACGCCTCGCGGGCGCTCCCGCCCACCCGTCTTGCTCGGTGTAGGCCGGCCGGGCTGTGACAAGACCTGGAAGCGTAGAGCCAGCCTGCCTGCTTGTTTGCCTGCTTGCCGGAGTCGGATTCAGTGCTAAGTCATCCTCCTCCCCCCCCCTCCCGAGCCGAGCGGGAGCAAACGAGCGAGGCCCCTTTCCCCTCCTCCTTTTCAGCGGGTCTTGGCCAAGGGATGGCGACGCGCGTGGGTGTACTCAGAAATGCCAGGAAAGGACGCCAAGCTTACTAGCTCTCTTTAAAAGGATACCTGAGTAGCGGCTCTTTACAAAACAGTATGCCGTCCTTAGGAGAAACGACCCATGTTTTCGTTTCTCGACTTCAACCAAGCATAGAAATAATCCCGCTGGCTTTAGAATACGGTGTTTGGATGCACTTACGCATCTGACCAGCTACTCGTACCTACGTTGAGTTGGGTAAAAGAGGTGTATATACAGCCTGTGTTGCAGAGCAGCAGGCAAACAGATAGATGAGTGTGTACAGGTGATCTGAAGTAAAACTGAACGAGTAACACTGTTATTCCCTTTAAATATTTGTATGTGTTGCCTTCAAAACAGTTTCCCTGAAGATGAGGAGGATAAAAGAATTATAACAGCAGTTTAACACTTTGGGTTCTAATAGAAAAAATGTGAAATGTAATAGGTGATATGAGGGTTTTCCAAAGACACACACAACTAGGACAGAATGGAACAACTTTGCCACAGCCAATTTGCTGCAGCCAATTCACCATGGCCAACTTGCCATGGCCAACTCATCACAGTCAACTCCTTGTAGGAGAACTCGCCACAGTCAACTCACCGCAGGGCAACTAGCTGCGGGTCAATTTAACAATTCTATTTAATTATTTAAAATAAATAAAAAATATTTTAATTTTTGTCATTTACATTTCATTCTGTTCCTCCTTTTGCATCCTTTCTTTAATGATTCTATCATACTGTTTCTTTGATATTAGTGTAACTTGTCCCACAACAAGTTGTCCTGTGGCAATATGGCCGTGGCATGTCCTGCAATGAGTTGGCTGTGATGAGTTAGCTGTGGTGACTTGATTGTGGCAAGTTGGCAGTGGCAAATTGCCACAGACCCCAACTAGGAGGTCATAGGAAGGCTACTGAAACTTTAAACTCTTGTAGGTTGGGATGAAGAAACCAACCAGCCTGAAGGGGTTTTGTGAGCTTCTGTAAACTTGACCCTAGATCTCCTAGATGCCAGTTCAACAGGTTGGATTTGCACAGTAAAAGTTGTTTAATCCAGTTACTAGAATAGATTGAACACTAGATTGAAGGATAGCAACTGCAACAAAAAAGTAAATACCCAGAGTGGCCATAGGTTACCACTTTCTGCTATTGCACAAGAATTATTAAATACTCTGTTCTGCAAGGTGACATTGGTAGAAATAACTCAAATCTTGTATGGACAAGAAATGATTGACTTCTGACATCAGCAGCATAAATAATCATATGTATTTTAATATATCTAGTTTTCCATATTAGGGTGACGGACGGAACAAGGAAGCAAGACTCAAGGAGCTAGAGATTTGGAAGCATCCCATAGACCTCTTGAAATAGTTTTGATTTCTCGTGTCCTCAATAGCATATTATAGTACATGCAAGATACAGTGCCTTTCACAATCTCAAAACCACCAAATGGATTATTGTTTGGATCAGGGTTTTTTCCAAGGATTCCACAAGAATTATTTATTAGATTTATATCCCACCTTTGTTTTGTCCAGTGCAAGCCAATGAATTTTATAGGTTTCCTATAAACCTATAGATAACAAAAAGTTAATTTGAATGCATCACTGCCTCTTGATCAGGAGTTCTAGGATTTTTCCTGTTTAACAGGTTCCATGGTCTGAAAACCCATGGTTTGGCCCAGACAGGATGAGAATTCTAGGTATTGAATCCAGCAAATTTGGAAAGCAGTCGCTTTCCTAACTTTATAGAAAAGTAATAAATTGTAGAAATAATCAACTCTATTCTGTAAGAACATCTTGCAACTCAGTCCAAATAATATACTATCCCACATTGTGTAGAATTAGAAGGCAGAAGAAGAGAGCAGAAATGATGAATAATGCCTTTATCTTTTGTAAAAGGCCAGATGACTCAAGCAAGTTATCCATCCACAAGAGAAAGGAGAAACAGAGTCATTTAATAAAAGGATAGCTTGCCAGGAAATAGTCCAATTGCTGTATCAAACATGTTCTTAATGTTGAGGAATGACCTTCAGCTCTATTTGACAGCTGCAAAAACAGTAATCTTCACTATAAGATTCTTACAGTGCAAACACTCTGGTCAGAAATATCACCAACTTTCAGCGATTCTGGAAGAATTTCTACTAAATGCTGGAATATTGGATAATTTAGTATTTGGAATGAGATTTTATCGAACAATTCTGAACACATTCTGTGGGCACTCATCCAACAGCCACCATGATGTTTCTTTCCATCATTGAGAGAGGAGGAAAATATATAAATATAAAGCACTCAACTTTTTTTTATGCTTTGAGAATGAGACTGGTCAGTGCTGTTACTCTAATGAAATATAAAATACTGAAGGATAATGATTGGTGGGTTCCTTGTCAGTCTTTCATTTTCCAACCTATCTTGCCACCAGTCATTCCCATGAATCCAAAAATGTTCTTCCAACATTTCTAGTGTTGCAGGTTCACTTCACTGAAAATTATTTTATATTTAACAATGGAAAAACAAGGAAATTGTCTAATCAATTTCTTGATCCACATTAAGAAAGTTGTGGTTTTGGATCCAGAAAAAGGAGTTATCAAAAAGTTGAACAAAATGTATTAACGAGATCCTGAAAATTTGTTTAAGTTTGTTTACCTTACATGGTAAAAGTAATTTTATTCAGTGGCATTTGTCAAGGAAGATCTTTCTCAGTTGTCAGCTAATATGTAGCTCATATATTGTATTCAGAAGAAAGCACTAGGACAAGAAGCAATGGATGAAAACTAGTTAAGGAAAGAACCAACATAGAACTAAGGAAAAATTTCCTGACAGAACACTTAATCAGGGGAATAGTTTGCCTCCAGAGATTGTGGGTACTTCAACACTGGAGGTTTTTAAGAAGAGATTGGACAGCCATTTGTCTGAAATGGTATAGGGTTTCCTGCTTAAGCAGAGGGTTGGACTAGAAAACCTCCAAGATCCCTTCCAACTCTGTTGTTCGGTTATTCACTAATTTTGCAGTAAAAATAGTCCAGCATTCAGTCTTATATGAGATTAATTATCCCCTCTCTACCACCATTACCACCAAAATAAGCTGGGCAGATAAAATGTTTGATATTTCTCTGATCACAGCTGAAAAACCTTGGAAGAAAAGAGTCCACTGACCAGGGATAATTCCACAACAGGCTTGCCAGACCAGATGGAGCCTAGCTCATTGCTTCTCCTCTGTGGGCCATAAACTGTACCTATGGGATCTTCTGTTGCAATAGCAGGGATAATACTACTTTTACTCCAGAAATGCTCATACTATCCAAGGAATCATTTACTTGGCAATTTCTTGCACTACTGGCTTAGTATCTTGCCACACAAAATTAAAAGAATAGAAAGCAAATAGAGAGGAGGAGGAGGAGGAAGTAATCTTACAATTAATATGAGTCATGCCACTCAGCATATAGTTAATTCAGTGGAGATGGGAAGAAATGATGCGGCATCAATTGAAGCATACACTCCAAACTATGTATTGAAGCCTTCTAGATACAGTACATGGTTGTCAGTGGGTATTGATCTGACTCATTCGTGATGATATCCTATGAGGAAATTTAGTATTTTCACGGATTTGTGTTCAGTCATCCTCCCACCTAGATGTGTGAAGATGCAGATGGAGTCATTTTCCAGATAATAGGTAGTTAAAACCAAATCCTGTTTAATTCCAACACAATACTTAGTCTGTTTTTCCTTAGAACTGTTACATTTAAGTTCTATAATTATTCCTTTCTCATTATACACCAGAGTTAAATTGGCAATAGTATTTAGGCATCAAAAATCATTGGCTAAATTTAGAACACAACTATTAGATGATGCCTAATTCTGTAAACTCTATGAAAGCATAGGATGCTGCCTGGCAAAGTAAAAAAAAAGAACATAAACAGCATGCCTTGAATGTCATTTATATGACAACCCTGCTTTTTGTAGGATTAAGTTGAGAATCAAAGCAGTTAAATGTAACAAGGGTCATTAATACAATAGAGAATGAACAGATGCAAATCAAATACAAGAATAAGATATGTAGTTTTTCCATTCTAAAAAGTGATCATGGCAAAGGTTAATATATTGCTTTCTTGATATTAGCTGCAGATGATAGTCACCACCAGTCTTGTCCAGATGAACCATTCCCAATTAATTCATTTTTGACATAATTTGAAAAGATCACACAAATTTAAATGCAGTACCATTATTATTATTCAAGATAAACTTTAGTCTCCATTAGTTTCATTAGATGACACAGTTCTAGAGGATGCAGCAAGGAACTGAGAGCTCATTTTGCAATGTGGCAATGGAACAGATGAGAAGAGCTAAGGTGAAGATACTGTATCGTAATTCATAACTTATTCAAGGTACACTTTCAAGCAAGAATGAAAGGAAATGGAACAGAAAATAATACTGTATGAAGCAGCATACTGCAGAGCAAATTCAAAAGGCATCTAATGCTACCTCTGGAATCTTTTAAAATCCTTAAAATATAAACCCATTTTTAAAAACAATAATAAAATATTTGCAACTAAATAAGGGAGGCAATCAATACTACTCATCTACACAATATAAATGTATTGTTTTCGTTGGTCTTATTATGTTTGGTAAAGCTGTTAATAATGATTGGTTGAATTAATCTATACTCAAGGAAACTGAAAACGATTAGGTAGGTTTGTTTGAATGAGTGAGCAGAACAGAACAGCAAAGACTTTTGAAGATATCCAGGCCTAAGAAAGAAGAGGGCAATACTCTCATGTAAGCTGATTCAAGGAATATTTGTCCAGAGATATAGGAATCCCCCCACACCCCATGAAAGAATCAGAGGGAGAAAAACAATAACTAGACAAGCAAGTAGGCAGACTCAAAATTATAGTGCCATGCAAGAATGAAATTAATATATTGAAATAATCAACTAACTGATTGGGAAAGCAGTAGACATTGTGAGCAGACATGAACACTGTTTAAAACATTGCTTAA